ATAGGAAGAATGGGCCAAACAATGAGTAATGAATGTACTATTTTCATTCACAGCAGGATTAAACAAATGTCTATTTCTATTGATTAACACATTACTATTCTAATGCACTACAGCTAGAGTAAGTGCTTTTTGTGGGGAATTTTAATTTAACTCGAAGCTTCCAGATATTCTACAAATGTTGTCCAATGTAGAGCACATTACAGTAATCCAATCAATCACAATAGAGCTGGAAGGGACCTTGGAGGTCTTCTAGTCCACCCCCCTGCTAAAGCAGGAGACCCTATAGCATTTCAGACGAGTGACTGTCTAGTCTCTTCTTAAAAACCTCCAGTGATGGAGCACCCAAAATTTCTGCAGGCAAGCTGTTCCATTGATTGTCCTCACTGTCAGGAAGTTTCTCCTTAATTCCAGGTTGCTTCTCTCCTTCATTAGTTTCCATCCATGGTTTCTTGTTCTGCCCTCTGGTGCTTTGGAGAATAAATTGACTTCCTCCTCTTTGTGGCAGCATCTCAAATACTGGAACACTACTATCATGCTATCATATCATTCTGAAAGTGGACATGTTTCTCTCTGCATGTGTCCCCCCCCCTCTATTTGTATCGGTTTTCTGTGTGATAGATATGCTACTGAGTTTTATTTGATTTCATTTGGATTTTATTGTTAAATTGTTAAAAATCCCAGTCATCAAATCCTTTCTAGCCAGGATAGGCAAATGATTTCACAACTGGGCTTGATGCTGGCATAAAGTTTCAGTGTGTGTTATAATACTTCCAAAAATGTTTTCCTTATTTTATTCCCCACTTTTCCTTCCTTTGCTGCATATTATATCAAAACTCACAATTCTAACCCAACCCAAACCACAACAATGAAAAGAATTGAGAAAGAAAAAATTGTAAATACCTATTCTCTATTGAAGGTGTATATTGTTATGTATAAATTACCTTGATATCTAATTTTGGACAACTGACCAAAATAGTTCTGAAAAAAAAAAGATATATCATAAAAATTTTTTAATCTGATTTATCAAATTGCAAATCTTCTACCAAGACTTAAAAAGAAACTATTTCAAAATACTTCTGGTTTTGGTGTAAGAAGTAATTTTGTTGATTTTAAATGATATGTATTTAGAATGATCTTCAGATATTGTTAATGTAGGACATATTTTATTGAAAAAAATGTACTTGTTTCTAAGGGGGAAAAATCAGATGTTTCAAGGAACGGTAATCATCATAAGAGTAAATCTTTGTTAAAATACATATCTGTCTTTATTTCATCGCATCTTATAACTACATCTCCATATAACAAATTTAGATAGAAATGATGGGTAATTGCCATTAAGCCATTAGGTGCTTAAAGACATTTTTCTTCTTTTAGAAAAGAAGAATAAACTGCCAAGAGTATTATGAACAGAGAAGGGTAATCAATCATTTTAAAGCAGTACTAGATATGATTTTGGAAACGGAAATAATGTATGGATCCAACTGCAAATCTAAATAGTTTAGATTTAGTTTAGAATAGTAACTCCCCAGACTCCATTTTTGCTGGCAGAAAGCTGCAGGAGGTTATTGTGGTCAAAAATGGAGTTTAGGAGGGCTACACGTGGCCCCCCTCAGCTCCGTTTTCTCTGACAGAGGCACCATGGGATCAGTGGTGGGATTCAATTTTTTTTACTACTGGTTCAGTGGGCGTGGCTTGGTGGGTGTGGGTGTGGCTTGGTGGACGTGCAGGGAAAGGACACTGTAAAATCTCCATTCCCTCCTCACCCCAGGGGAAGGTTACTGCAAAATCCCCATTCCCTCCCGATCAACTGGGATTCAGGAGGAAGAGAACAGATGGGGGTGGGGCCAGTCAGAGGTGGTATTTACCGGTTCTCCGAACTACTAGAAATTTCCACTACCGGTTCTCCAGAACTGGTCAGAACCCACTGAATACCTCTTCTGCATGGGATGGTTCTTCGCTGTTTCCAGGTTGGCCCCATGGGACAGATCTAAGCCCATGGGCCTTGAGTTTGACACTGCTGGTCTAGCGGATTCTAATAAAATAAAACAAATCAGAAGTAGATTATTGTATGAGAAAGCAGGGATAATACCTGTGATACAGAAAACAAATGTTTATTCAATGCCTTAATTTGGGATGCTTGTAGAAAGAATTCTCTTCGGACTCATATTTTATCAGGGAACCTATTTCTAAACCCAGAAATATATCGCTCCATAGTGCTTTATAGCACTCTCTGAGCAGTTTACAATGTAGAAGTATTATTTTGCACATTGTCACCAACAATCTGGACCCTCGTTTTATCAACCTCGTGTGGACGGAAGGTTGGGTCAACCTTAAGTCCCATTATGATTAGGATCAAGTTCCAGGTTAGGGGCAGAGTTTGCCTGCAATACTGCACTTTAATCACTGTGCCACCTGGGCCCTTCTACTTAGGACCAGGGTCCTTTCTACTTAGTAGCCCTGAGGTAAGAAGGGTCCCTCTACTTACTTTTCTCTACTCTGTAACAGGTAATTACATCTTAGCCATGCTCTTTTTTGTCCTTTTTTCTGCTCTATGTCTCTTAGGTTTGCTTTGCAGATTTATGTTTATCAGTGACTAACTTTCCTCATTTTTTCATGGTTGATTTTCTTTGTGCCACTACCCACTTTATACATTTTCCCACTCCATATTTAGAGTTACTGTGCTGGTTCACATGTATTAGGATTGGGTACACTAAACCATTTTATTTATTCTAAATTTTATTCTAGAATTACCAATTGTTTATCCATGATTTTTTGTTGGCTTGCATGCATTGTAACCGAAACTAGGTAATATTTGGTCAGTCATTTCTTGTTTGCTTTCGCTATGGATGAACATGCATTTTGAGTATGAATTGAATTAACTCCTATTTATTAGCGGTAAATAGTTATTCCAAAAATAACAAGGCCTGAACTGCACAAATATATATGCCTGCCACACATCTGTTGGAAGACAATGTGAATTACTGAGTTTCCCTGGCAGTGGAAATAAGGAATCTCAAGCAACATGTATTACCTTTGGCTGATTTGGAGATAAACAGAATCAGTTTAAGTAAGGAGAAGAGAATATTTCTGTGTCACATTTAGCAAAGCAACAACAACTCTGATTGTTTTGTTTTGTTAATTTAATTTAAATGATGCTATTCCACCTTGGATTATGGACAGAGGGGCTAACAAGAATCACATTTTTTTGGGGGGGGGAACTAGCAAACATTTGTAGATCATATCAATGTGCTTAGAGAAATAAACCAAACAAACAAACAGCTAATAGGTACGAACTGGTGGAAGTGGGATACAGCTTTAAGTGCAGTTCTAAGGAAGCAGGAGTCTTCTAAAGGACTAAATATTTCACAGCTGGCTTCTTCATTTGTCTTACAAATGCAATGTTCTCCCAAATGACAGCAAGAAGAAAAGATTGGGGAGTGGCAATAATAACAAGTTTTCCACAATCTTCCAAGCATTCCAGTTACTAGTGTTGACGTTTCTAAATTATAACAATACATTCTTTGTTCTCTGGATTGGTCAGAAACATGACAAGGCAGTCAAAAAGGCTTAGAACTAATCTTCCGTAGGGAATTAACTCTCTTAAGTCAGTGTTCCCCACCCTACATGCCCTCTAAGATTTCAACTTCCAAAATCATGGCAATCTAGAGATTGTCCAGGCTGGGGAAACTTAAGCAAATAGATGAAGGAGTGTTGTGCTGGAAATAAGATATATGTCACTAAGCATAGAAGCACTTTCTTCAGTTGTCCAGAAGGAAGGAAAAAAGAAAACACTTACCAGCACATGCTGAAGCGATTTCTGGTTTGGAGGCCAAACCCTATTTTTTTTAACACCAGAATTAATACCAGACAAACTATCAAGCAGTAAGCTAAACTCTGAACAACGAACTATTAAGCAAAGAATGAAGCAGTAAACAACAGCTTAATCAAGGAACTATCAGGGAGAAAAGAATATCCCATCAATGCTGACAGGGCAAACTGCTGTATATAAACAGAGAGCAAGCCCACAGCCTTCCAACGCTGAAGATGTTAACTAGCTGGGTATAGAAATGTCTGCAAGCAAACAACCAAGCTCAGAAAGCATCAAGAGCTGCATCTGTTTTCTTTCATTCTCCAATCTGTAATTTCCCATCTTCTAAAAAACAACTCTGCACTGCTAAGGAAAGGCAACAAGCTAACGTTCTTCCCACAAGTCCAAATATCTGTGCTCTGCATGCAGACAGTTAGCAGGTTGTATCTTTCGCTGTGGTTTTCCTGTTCCATTTCTGTGTTCTGCAATTTTGAGGAGATACTATTTTAAACCCATCTGCTTTGCATTTCCATGAATTTTGCTGTACCATCAAATTCCTCTTTGCTGGAATGGATAGTGCTGCTTAGTGACTTCAGTTACAGTTTAATCAATTCCCCGCTTCTTTTCTACTCATGAAGTGAGGAAAATGGTCATAATTATGATGTTTACTGGGACAAAGTGTTCTGTCTCAGCTAAAACATTTTTCTTGGGTCTATTTCTTGATAAATAGCCATGCTAATATGTGTTGCATAAAAACAAGTGAAACTTTTCAGCATTTTAGAGATTGGCTAGGCTAACAGCATACCAGAGAAAATGGAAAACAACCCTAATGTGTTTCCTAGCACATTTTAAGAACATATTGTTATCAATTGATTTTATTTTCTGCCCTTAAAAGATGGCCACCCATTACACTGGAAGTGAAGTAGGGCAAAACAACATGGCATGTATTGGACATTTCAGGGTATGTTTTTTCATTTTTGGTCTTATAGCAATAGCACTTAATCTTATATATCACTTCACAGTGTTTTATAGCCCCCTCTAACTGGTTTATAGAATCAAAATATTGGCCCCAACAATGGGGGTCCTCATTTTACTAACTTTGGAAGGATGGAAGTCTGAGTCAACCTTGAGCTGGTCAGAATCAAACTCTTGGCAATGGGCAGAGTTAGCCTGCAATACTGTATTTTAAGCACTGTGCCACCACAGCTCGTATGCAGCCATTCTGTGATTGTCTCACTGAAGAATTGGACAGAGAATCCATGTACTGGTGGCACCTGCTGAATAGAATCATAAAATAATACAATTAATTGGTTGGAAGGAATGCTGGATATCATTTTTTTCAGTCCAATGTAAAGCAGTATTCCAGTCTGATGCAGCTCAGACTCTGTCTGAATAGTTCTAGAAAAGAAGCCTCTACTGCCTCCTGAGGTACTATATTACATTGCTGAATTCCTCTTACTATTAGAACAGTTTTCCTATCCAACCACAATCACCTTTCTTTAGTTAAATTCTTGTTTCTGTCTTCTGAAACAATTCTAAACAATTCTGCACCCCCACACCCAGCTCTGCAGGTAGAGGCCATGTTCCACTCCTTCATTACCAGATAGGAGGCCCTGCATTAGTGGTTGAGCTTGGGGAATACACTGTGTATGTGTTGTTGTATTGCCTTTTCTGTGGCATAGCTTTATCCCTATTTGAGCTACTTGACCTCATTGCCAGGTGTGTGATTGATTCATTCAGCCATCTTCTCCTGGATGATTTCAATTTGCTATTGAAATAGTGGTTCAGAGGCAGTTCAGGAATTCACAGCTGATACAACAACATGGCCCAGTTCTGTTTCCTCATAATCTCATCAGTCGGCCATACATTAAACCGGGGTTTTATCCTGGAATTGCAGATATATGATCTAAAGGCAGAGGACACTGAGATTAGTCCATTATCATGGTCAGGCCACTCTGTGTTTTCTATTGAGCTTACTGGTAGCCTTTAACCTTTAAAGATACATAAGAATAGATGCAGTCAAATAGTTACCCCAGGTGTCTGTTGGACCTATTTGATTTCTACAAGATGTTTAGTTGTTTCCATAGGGCCTTTACAGACAGCTCAAGCCCTGGGAACGCAGAGATAATTGTAGACTTTTGACTGGATTGTGTCTAAGTGGCCATTCTCTATAGAACATGCTAATCCAGAAGAACATCATACTAGAGAGTGCTGGAAGGTAAAATAGCAGAAAAGAGATTAATGCTAGTAAACAATAACAACAAATAGGACTACACATAGGTACAAGACTACACTTGCAAGTTCCTCTTGATCATGGTTCCCATCAGGAGAATAACTGTACTACGGTGATTAAATATGTGTCTCAGAAACCAGTCAAATTATGGAAAAATTGGAGTTTCAATGTTCCCTTCTTCAATAAGAAAGAATTTGTATAACAAATATGGGTAGAAACCTTTCAATACTTTAATTTGAACCCAGAAATATCAAGTGTTCACATTTTTTAATGGAATCATATAAAACATATTAAAAATACAAGGGAAAAAATAATGTGAAAGATTAACTGAAACATTTATGGGTGCAAATGGCTAAATGCCTATCTCCTCTGTATATAGTAGTACAGAAAAAAATGAACTAAATACTATAATATCACAGCAGACATATGCTTATATGTTTATGATGGAGATACTGGGAAAACAGGGAAAGTCTTGGGAAGATGTCAGCTAATTGCTTGAAACAAAGAAAGACAGGCCATGATTCCAACTATCAGAGGTGAAAGTGATGAAACATATAAAAGTTAAATAGACATAAAAAGACAATTTTTAAAATTTACTCAGAATTATATAGCAAATCAGAAAATGTATAAATTACTAAAGTTGCTAAATAAAAGTAACCCACCACATTTAGATAACACACAAAAAAACTTTTACTTGTTCTAGTATGTGAGATAGAGATTAAACAAATAATTTTGAAAAATGATAAATGGTAAAACTCCAGGATTGGATAGATTCTCTATAGGGTGGTATAAAACATTCATTTTTGGTGCCAAAGCTTTGCCAATTGTATGATGAGACACTGGATAATGGAACTTTATTTGCAGCATTCAATCAAGGTTGTATCAAAAGCGGGTAAAGATTACACTTGTGTGCGAATTATCATCTGGTTTCATTGTCTAATGTTGATAACGAAGATCTTAACAGCAGTGTTAGGGAACAGATTACAACAAGTGATATCTTTCATTATTAAGATTGATCAAGCAGATTTCCCATTTGGGGAGAAGACCAAGGCAAGGTATAATTTCCGGAGTCCTGCTTTGTTTCCTTAACCTTCTTACTATCTCAACATTTTTTCCAACAGCTCTTCCTCTTCTTTCCTTTTCCCCTTGACATAGCCACCCCTTTTAACTTTCCTTGAAAGCTTAAGTTCCAGTTTTAGCTTTTCTGAATCTCTTTCTGCATATATTCCTACACTTTGGTGCTTATATTCAGGTTATACCAGTGGTGGGTTCTGGATCCCATTCCAACTGGTACAGTTGGAATGGGCCCGGTGCCATCCACATGGATGCATGTGGTGCACACACACATACGTGAAGTGTGCACATGCATCTTACCATCTCTGTGAGCCTCTGCGATGCTCCAGCTGCTCAGTGGAGCATTGCACAGGCTCTGTATGCGCCATGCACGTGCATAGAAGCATGAAAGCCTTAAAACACAGGTAGGGAGCTTGGGCAGGCAGGTGGGCCCTCCAGAGCACCGTACCGGAATGGTATCTGGTGCTGTGGGCAGGCTCTGGTACGCCCATACTGGGGAGTACTGCCTGCAACTCACCACTGGGTTATACCCCCAATGCAGGGGTGGGTTTCGACCGGTTTGCACCGGTCCCTGCGATCCGGTTGGTCGCCGAACCCGGAAGTAAGTAACTTCCGGGAACGGCGACGCCCCCCCCGCACCCGCTCCTTACCCGGTTTTTACGAATTCTGCGCTTTCCACGCATTCGCAGAACGCATACAGTGCCTGCGCGATCCTCCAGGAGCAGCTGGAGCATCGCGCAGACGCTAGTACGCACGCACCGCGTGCGTGCGCGAGGACGCCGCCGGCCTCGTTCCAACCGAACCGGTTGGAACGGGGCGAGAAACCCACCCCTGATTATAACTATAAAAATAAAAATACAAAGACACATCCTTCACATGCTATATAATTGACACTGAAAATTCAATATTGCATTAATATTGCACTATAACATAGAATTCAACATAGTTA